AGTCTGAAGTAATGTAATGTTTAGCGAATGATGACATAGAAATTATCATAACATAAGCAACGTAATTATGACTCATTAATGAATAATGTAATTGTTGTTATAACGTGTAGTGAAAACATTTCCATAATTGATATAACCATTATCACATTTTTGGAATACCTCTTTATATTTACTTTGTGTTGGCAAATACTTTCGATCTTTTATCTATTGAAAGAATCCTTGGAAAATGTAATGACAAAATATTTAAGAGCTGATAATCTAAGCAAAATATTCTGTTTTGTATTTGTATTGTAAGTATAAATTATCCTGGTGTTTTAACCAACAATACTACCAATAATACTACTAATAATAATGATAAAAGTGCTGTGTCATAGAGGAAATTAAAAGATGATTTTATTTGGATGGAAACCCAAAGCTATAGACAACACATAACTTATTCACACATGTCCAATTTCAAATGTGTGTTCATTGTTATTTTGTTATGTAAACACATATTGGCATTGTTTTGCAAACTTTTCCATATGACCCCGTATTTGTAAAAATTGACTTTTTGCTTGAAGTACATTAATTAACATAGGTCAGCGTATGTTGACAAATACAATTAAGAAAATGGTTTTGTCTAGTGTTTAGGGCTACATAAGTTTCTTTATTTTTAATTTTTGTTTTCATCAGATCAATTCTTTTCAATTTCTTTTTTCCCCCAAAATTTACATAAATCTGTTAGTGTGCTCCTTTAATGTCAATAATGTTCATTTCTAATTTTAGATATTCAGTCTAATACTCAAACATCTTAAGACTGCAATACTTCTAAATTCTGTAATTCAGATTTTGGCCATATAATCACTGGTAATTTTGACATTATTGCAGACAAAAGAATTCGTAACTTATTCTTGAAAGGACCTAAATACATAATTCCTTCTGAGATTGATCTTAATGCTTGTCGTGGTAAAATTGCTGAATCTATAGAGGATTTTTCGGTCAAATGGTGTTGCCGTGAAAATGCGTATAATAATGCCCTAGCTACATGGAAACGTAAAATCTTTAAAATTATTGATTCACGTATTATTTTTCACATATTTTTCGTGGAAATGAACATCTTTTGCCACCTTAACCAAGACTTTCTTTAAGACATCTGAAAAAGGATATTCTAGCTTTTCATTCAAAATTTGTTTTGATGCCAGCAAGGCGGCTAATAATATTATAATTGTATGACGAATCCATTACATTAACGTTTTGCATAATGACCTAAATAGTAATAATGCGTATTCTAAAACATCTGCCTCCGAAAAAAACATTGTAAACAATCATATTACTAATATTTCCAGACTTAACGTCCAAATTCATGAAAAAGAACTCAAACTTCCTATTATGTATTTATTGCAGTTCTTGCGCCGTCTGCAGAAACTCCTTTGGTTCTCTTGTGAAGCCGCCCATCGGTAAACGTCAATCAAACTGTGAAGATATCTGTCTGACAGTCAAAAAGTTTCAATTGTGTTGCTGATTTAACGATATGGTTTGTGCTTTCATAGTTGTTATTTGTCCAGTTTGGTTGTATCTTACCTAACTGGTTCTATAACATGTGTTTCTAGAGAAGGTCTTTTTTCACTATTGGAAGAGTCGTGTTTAATGATAATTGATCTCAGGTTGTAAACGCGAGTCTGATGTCAGTTTTTCAAACAATGTATAGCATTCAAAATTTTTATTCCTTGATTTCAAATTCATACCTGCAGTATCCTTCATATACTAACAAGCATATTGCTTCAGGTGCCTTGTACATAAAAGACGTTTGTGCAACTAGAAAAACACCCTTTAATAAGATTTTTTTAAAGGAAAGGTCTTCGTCAATACCAATGGTAAGAGAATTAATTCTCTTTTCTGTTAAATTATCTGCAATGTTGTGAGAGAAGGCAGAGTAAGATTTTGTGGAGGACGATTGATGAATTAATGATTGATGACGTGAAATTCACCAATTGTATATGAATTTGTAGTTGAAGCATAAGCATTAAAAGTAAGATTTCTGAATTGCTTTAAGATCGGGACTGAATGCTTCTAAATTTTCTGTTTATTCAAATTCTGTCTTACCCTTTGTATCACTGCCGTGATCTGGAGACGCCAAAAGTGAATCTTTGTGTTCTGCCTTTAATTTCGATGAAATTACATTAAACAGGTAGGGAACCATTCTAGCTTTCTCTTTGCCACAAAACCATTCTTGAGAGGGAGTTGGGTGTTTGTCCACATTTTTGTAATTGTTTCCATTTCAGGATCTACAAATGTTTGTCTGAATACATCGTTTAACAGTATGAACGCATAATGCTTAGAACCATTAACGGCAGGATAAGCTGACTCTATTTTAATGTTAAGCATGTTCGGCAATGCGATCATGTTCCACACAGAGGCATAGCTACCTGGTTTAACATAGTCAACACAGTCTTTTTTATACTCCGGAAAAATCCACTGCAGTCTTCTGTTTTTCACTATTTGGGTACAATGAATGGTGTTTTATTCAGTCCCTGTTAGTCACCATTTCTATACAACACTGGTATCGGAGCTCAATGCATCGGGACTCATCCAAAGAAGTTGACCCTGAATTGAAGAGGCAGTCACCATCTCCGGTAAAAAGAAGTGCCGTTTTGTGTAAAGTGTGATACTCAGACAGTATGACAATTGATACCGGATCTTGGTCGTGATTGTTGAAAAAAGTATGTATCAGATTTTCCGTCTGTTCGTTTTTCAGAAATAAACTTTCCCTCTTAACAACAACCATTTTTATCATTCTGTGAAGCCTAGAAAAATGAAATTTATAAATTATTAATCTTGTAACATGCTGCTCGATAAAAAATATCTAATATTACAAAATTTACGAGAAAACAAAATCTTATACTCGCGAATATAGCACAGTCATTATATTCTGTTTACGGCGCTAAAACTATATCAAGGGCGTGGTTGTTAGTGGAAACGTATTTATTGTTACGTGCCCAGCTGGTAGCAAATACGTGTTTACTACTACACACATTCATATTATAAAGTGTGCGCGAAAAAGTTGGTAAGTGCATACCAGTTGCATATCGACGTAAAAAGCTAATAAAGTCGGCATCGTACTTGTGTCCACCTTTTTAAGCGGCTTTTTTTATTAAGCGGCCGCATAGAGTCCCTTCCGATGATTTTTACTATATATGTTAATTCCATGAAACGACAATGTTATATCGCGGCCAGCGGCTACTTAATGTCGGCCCAAATGTACGAAATTAAGTGTCCAAAGATCTATTAAACGGCCGTGACAAACAATCGGCCTTATGGGTATTCTCACTTGTGTAATCAGCTAGTAAAAAATCTGAAAACAAAGTGATCCCTCGGAAGCATTAATCACAATAAAATTGCATAAGAATTGCAGACTCAGTTTGATTGAGTCTGTACATGAGGGATAATGAATAGGTGCAACAGGACAGGGCACGGACAGTTAAATCACTAAAATAATACCTAATTTGTAACTGATAAGGAATTTAAAGAAACAAATAAATGATTGAATTATAGGCCCACAAAGTCAAGCCATCATCATGGTTTGTATGTTTGTTTGATTTGGTTTTACGTCACACCGACACAGTATAGGTCATTTGGCGACTTTCCAGCTTTACTCAGGTGCCCTTCCTTGCATTATTTCAGGCAAGAAAGGGCACCTGGGTAGAACCACCGACGTTCCGTAAGCTAGCTGGATAACTTCCTCACATGAAATAATCCAAAGTCCCTGTCGGGATTTGAACCCACAGCGGTGAGGGGCAAGTGGTTTGAAGTCAACGACCTTAACCACTCGGCCACGGATGCCCCTCCATCACACCATCATAAAGAAATGTTTTAACGTTAGACGAACGATTATTTGTGATTGAGCGGTCAAAAACAAAAACTTCAAGAAAAATTGCCAAGGAATTTAATATAGGAAAGATTCCTGTCCAAAATATTTTAAAAAGGAAAGCCGAACTAATGGCTGATAATGAAAATAATGCCCCTGGTGCCAGGAAGCGAGTGCGCAGACAAACGGGGAAATTAAGATATAAACGATTTAACATTTGCTTGATTTAAAGATGCGGTATCTAGGAGACTGCCAGTGTCTGGAAAGCGAATTTAAATATTAAATTCTAATTATTCCGATTATTTTCAAAAACAATGTTTTTTTTTTTATTTAAGCATGTTATTACTGTATACTTAAAATTATGCCGATAGCGACAAATATTAAGTCGTGAATGAGTTAGTGTTTCCAAACATTTACATGTATTTCCGATTTATTTCCTGGTTTTGATTTTTACGGATAAAATGTAAGGGATACAGAGAATGTTATGGTTTAGGTAGTATAACTTTTATTTATTGTTTGTTTTAGGACCCCTAATTATTGAACGGGCCATGGCGTTCGCTTCCGAGGTGGGAAATAGGCAGTTCAGAGGATCTCAGGGATGGCTTGAGTCTTTTCTTAAACGGAACAATATTGTTTTCGGAACTATGTCAGGGGAGAGAGGGGATGTAAGCACCAAACTGATGACGAGTGGAAGGAAAAACTACCCACCATTTGCCCTGATTATCTACCACACAACATATTTAACATGGACGAGACGGGATTATTTTTCAGACACCACGAACAAATCTTTTCATTTCAAAGGTAAATTTCAATCTGAATTTTTATATTTCTTTTCGCTATAAAAAGGCCTAAAGTATCTGTATTTATTTTTAATGTCAATTAAAAAAGGAAATATAGTTTTGCTCTAATAAAGATTGTTGCACTTTAGCATACAATGCAGACGATTTAATTTGAAAATAATTTAAATGGAGATTGTAAAAGTCCGGGTAAATTATATTTGTATGCCATTTCACATGTGTGCCATTTAACAATTTCTCAAATTTGCCATACGTCAAAAGTAAACTTAATAAACAAAATAATGTAATGCTTTTCTGGCGATGACTGCAGTGATGGTAAACGATCTAAGGAACGCATAACTGTGGCTCTTGCAACAAGTATGACAGGGGAAAAGTTGAAACCTTTGGTTATTGCTAAATCAAGTAACCCAAGATGTTTAAAAAATATCAAAGTAGAAAAGTTGCCAGTTCATTTCAGGGACAACAAAAAAGCACGGATGACAACTGAGCTCATGAGTAACTGGCTTCGCATCGTGGACAAAGACATGAGAAAGGCAGGTTGGAAAATTCTTCTGTTTTTAGACAACGCCCCTAGTCATCCAATGTTGAAGTTGTCAAATGTAAAGTTGGCCTTTTTTCCACCTAATACTACTTCCAGACTTCAACCTATGGATCAGGGGATTATACAGACACCCAAGTTGAAATATCGTAAGAAGCAGTTGCAACATATTCTTGTTAAAGTTGATAGCAGCAACAAGGTTGGTTCACAGTTATTGAAAGAAATCTCGGTCCTAGATGCAATTTACTGGATTGATGCAGCCTGGAGAGACATTAAAGCAAAGACTATTGTTAAATGTTTCCCTTCTGAACCAGTTGAATCTGTAAACGCTGATGGCAATGATGACAGTGATGATGATGAAGTCCCATTGAATGTCCTGAAACTATCTCACGATTTATTTGGGTGTGAATTTAAGGACTTGATTAACTTAGAAGTCACTTTGAGAACTTGTGATGATTCTTATAAAACAGGCTAGGAGAGAACACCAGCTTTAGACATTCTGAAGGAGTTGAGAGATGATAATACTGATGATCTTTGTTATGATGATGTTGATTGTGCCGATGATTTGAAAGTATGCTCAGCAGGAGATGTGAATGAACATATCAACACTATAAGACAATATGCTTTGTTTCATGATCACATTGACCTGCTAGATAGTATTATGTGCGTAGATCACATTTTCACACACATTTCTACTACAAAACAAAAACAAACACGTATTGATGACTTTTTTAAAAAGGCATTATTATGACAGCAGTGTAATACATACATGATATAGTATATTGTTTTTGTTATTATAAAACATGTTATTATATCAATGACGTGTAGTATTTTTATGAAACCCTGTATTTAATCTCGAAATTTTCCTGAATTCAATTGAGAGACCACTTTATTAAGAGACCACTTTTTGGCAGTCCCTTGAGTGGTCTCTTAATACAATTTCGACTGTATACGCAATCTTGCGTATTAGCTAGTACATACGCGCACAATGAGAAATCACGTGAGCACATACATGCGCACGGGATCAATAAAATTATTTCTCATGTCTAATCTCTGCCACCATACTTATTTTGAGATAACATGCAGCTTTGTGTATAGTTAAATATATACAAAATGATCTCAGTAATATTGTATTGTGATACAATTCAATTTGCATTACTTGTCATATAATCACTGAATCTATTGAAAATTGTGAAATTGTACATACTCTTCATTAACATACACTTAAAAAAAAACAAAGCAATTGTCTGCAAATCTTGTGAAATGTTTTTTGTAATCATAATCAACAATGAAATCGTGAAATGAGAGTACAAAAAACACAAAATAGCTAATCTCAAATATCAAAGTCATGCATTTTTTTGTATTGAAATGCCTTTGAATTTCTGTTCCTTTATATTGGTTTCATATCTATGACAACTTATACAAGAAAAAGCATTGATGCAAAGCATCAAAGGGCGTCCAAGCAAGAAATGCAGCAGGTGAAGATGAACTAGTAGATACATGATGACAAGATATTCTTATAAACTTTTCAATGGTTAATTGGTTTTTACCAGAATTGTATATCACTTATGAATGAACGGACGAAAGACATTGTTCATTATTAACTTTGATTGGCATGCTAGAACTTGTTATTTCTTTATGATCGTGGTTATTAATAGCAACGGATATACATGTATACAATCATTTATAATCCATATGTGTAACGCATGAACAACACCACACTTGTGTAATTGTCCCTTATTATGTTATCGCTATTAGCGAAGACCCACTCTTAAGGTATCTGTTCACACTTAGTAACAATATGACACTGGTTATATTACCATGTTGATCATGTTTTACATAATTGTTTATTATACAATAATTGTAATATCTAATTTAATAAAAAAATTACAGATTTTATGAATATTGTTTTCTTTTCTTTTTTGTGTTATTTTAATACTGAGTTTTTACGTTACTACAATTTTAAGGATTCAATTGTCATATTGACCGACGATTATAAGTCAAAACTTAACTGGAAAAGTCAGTAAATTATGGTTAATCTTTCAATATATAATATTGTTTATTCTTAAACCATATACATGTACATTTGTTTTATTTTCTTTTTCATTTTTTAAATTATCAGTCAATTGCATAATTCATAAAATCTAATTTGTAACTTTGAATAATTCCTCGAGCTGCATCTTTACTAAACACGAATAACAAATTAAATAAAATGTTTCAAAGTTGATAGTGTCATATTAATACCATAAAAATGTACCTTTTTTCTCAGTTATTGTACAAATTTATTGTTTTTATCTTATATAGATAAAATAAAACATGCGCTATTGTTGTTGTTGGTTTTTTTTTCGAATTGTATGTTTATGTATTTTAATAATAAATTTGAGAGTTGATCTGTATTTATTAATTATTGTAACCAAAAGTGACAAACATTCATTTTGAAAAAAAAAGCTTATTTATCTAGAAAATATTTGTTCTGTTCTGTAACGATATCAAACATCTACTCCAAAACCGGGAGAGACCGGACAATAAACGTGTGGTACTACTAGTATTCGCCGGTCACTAGTAAATCCCGGTCAAACTAGACTCTCCTTTCAGGAGAGACCGGGAATTACCGATAGGAGTACATGCCTCTATAAATAGATTTTCGGAATATTTAGGTCATCAACTACATGTACAACAATAACATACCATAATAACCCATTACAAAATAATAAATAAAAATACTCCGAAGAGCGCGATTTATTGACGGAAAAGGTTATTTAATTTGAAAATGTTTGCATTGCGAAATTCTGCATTTCGCTATTCATTGTACGTATTGCGACATTTCATTTTTAATTAATAATCAAGCACCCTCATACCGATCGGAATGATCGGCTTTTATTATGACCGACTAAAAGGCTCGAGAAGTTGCTGTCGCCCTTTCACAAAATCTGATTTCATTCCATAAGGGCGCCGCGCTTCGGCGCGGACGCCAATAAATGATAATGCAGCACGCAGCTTAAGATAAAGTATTTAACATAATTTCCAGTTTATTCATTTCATTTAATCCTACTACATGGACTTAAATCAGCTTTCTTAATGTCGTATGATATTAAAATCTTCAATATAATAACATGTGAAGTAAACTGTAACTTTACATGCATTCATTTATCCGGGGTGTGATCCAGAATCATCAGGATCTTTTTGTAATTCTGATACATCTCATGTTTTCTTCATTAAATTTATTCCTGCGCCAAGTTTTGTTTTCATCAATTAAATTGAAAAATATTATTGATTGAAACACGAAACAAGTATACTGAACCAAAAAAGAAACTTATATACATGTAGTACCTTGTAAAACCCGTTTTGTTTGCAACATCTGTTAGCAAATCCCCGTATAAAAGCCCGATATGTTTATTCAACGTGAAAATCGAGTTTCACGTGCGCGTAAGGGATGGGCATATCTGCTCCACGTGGTGCATATTTGTCTTTACCAAAATATTGCTATAGTCGTAAAGCTGTAGAAAAAAATCAAAAAACGTTTTTAATTGAAGTTTTGTATTGAAATTGCAATACCAAGAATTCCCGAAAATTTACGTGAGAGGGCCTTGAGCATGCTTAAAGCTGGGTGCTCAACTGCGGGAGTTGAAGCTCGTGTTGGTGCATCCGTGCAATCAATTCGAAGCCTTCGGCGGCGATTTACACAGACTGGGAGTACAAGGGACTTGCCTCGGAGCGGTAGGCCGCGCGTAACGTCTCGAGCCCAAGACCGCTATATCTTGAACCAGCACCTGCGCGATCGCTTTCGAAGAGCGACAGCTACAGCTGCTGTTACCCTCGGTACTCGCAACAACCGTATTTCCGCCCAGACAGTAAGCCGATAGCGGTATGCACGGACGTCGTCTGTACGTCGGTTCAGTTTTGACGCGCCGCAATCGCAATAATAGAGAGCAATGGGCCCTTGGACACATAAACTGGACAAGACAGCGTTGGCGAACAATTCTTTTTACTGATGAGTCGAGGTCTGCATTGTCTCGAGCTGATGGCCGTGTACGATTATACTGACGCAGGAATGAACGTTATGCCGACTGCTGCGTACTGCAACGGGATCGTTTTGGGGTTGGGGGCTCAGTTATGGTGTGGGGCGGTATTGCCTACGGGTATCGAACCCCGCTCGTCGTTGACCCTGATGGCAATTTAAATGCCCACAAATACAGGGGAGGCATTTTAGGCCCTCATGTTGTCCCTCTGCTTCATACCCATAACGTAATAACGACTTTAAAACAGGATAATGCCACATCCCATGTTGCTCGTGTCAATATACAGTATTTACAAAATCATAACGTTGATTTCATCGACGACTGGCCCTCAAAAAGTCCGGATTTGAACCCAATTGAACCTCTTTGGGATAATCTGGATAGACGCGTACGTCGACGTCCGAACCCTCAAAACAACGTCAACGACCTTCGAGCAGCATTGCTTCAAGAATGGAAAAATATTCCACAGGCTGACATTAACAAACTTGTGCTCTCAATGCGACGTCGCTGTCAGGCAGTCAGCATCGCACACGGCGGTCACACACGCTACTGGTTGTTAACTTTAGAAACGACCACTACCTTATTTTAATTCAAAATTCAACAATCAATCTGATCCTTTCCTCCGAAATGACGATTTTAAAAGAACCACAATACATTATTTTACAAACTGTAAGCATTCATCTAAAAGGATTGAAAAACTGTACTAACATATCTACATTCACACTTGGCGAAAGTTTCTTTTTTGTTTCAGTATATCTGCTTAGTCAAACAAAAGTATTTTGAGTTGATATAGACATGTTTTAGACTGTTTGGCTAATATTAAGGCTTGCTAAAATGTTAATGTAATTTTTAAACTAGAAATGTGTTCAAAGGACACGGGTGCCCCCACACGCCACTTTTCTGTCAATCTTATGACTCTAGGTCAAATATATTTTGGACTACATGTGCCACAAGTTGAAAACTAAAAATCTTTTACTACAGTAAACGGCAAGAACTTTACAAATACCGAATAAATCCACAAGCATATCCCAAAGTGCATAAGTACACATGCTGACCAACATTCTCGTAAATTCAGGCCTACAAGTCAAATACTTTTTGAGCTATGCATGAACAAGTTGAAAATTGCAAATTTATACAACTGTAAGTCAAGGGCAATAACTCTAACAAAGCTGAAAAAATTCCACATACAAAGTTGCAGGTGCATAGCTTCACAGTGATGTTGATCATTCTTACTGTAATTTAGTGATGTTGATCATTATTCCTGTAAAGTTGGTTGATTCTAACTCAAGCACTCAAGGAACAAATAACACAACATAATAAAAACGGTTTTAACTAAGTCAAGGGAAATAAATAAATCCACAAGCGAAACCCAAGGTGCTCAACTACATATGCTGAGCAACCTTCCCATTAGGTTTAATGCCTCTATGTCAATTATTTTTTGAGTTACATGCGACGCAAG